ACAACCTGGACAGGCTTGTAACTTGCTTTAGTCCATCAAAATAAGCACCATGTCTGATTGTTTTAAGTTTTGAGTTACATTCTCTATGCTAAACTATGCTAATGCAGTTAAAAGTGCACAGCTATTTGAAAAGTCTGCACTGCAGAACAAAACATAATTAAGCCTCTAAACAGGTTTTTAATAATGTGCTAAAACATTCAGCAATACTGGTTTGATCCAGAATTACTGATTGCAAGTGCACTTGAATTGCTCACTTTCTAGGCATCTGTGTATGTTGCTCTCTCTTGAAAAGTGAAATCTGCTGTTGAAAACGAGAAGATGATCTTGCATGTGTGCATCAGCGTATGACCTGATGATGTCTAAAATGGAGATTATTGAGAATATGAGGCATCACTTTCTGGTGTGCTTTTCATGGGCAGTTATGCAGTGTGCTCTAATATCACCTTCACTGGCACCTTATTGGCGTGATGCTCTGGAACCGCAGAGGAACTGTACCACCTGGTGTGTGTACACATTCGTGTGTGCCTGCATGTGTGTGTGTGTATGTGCTCGATTGAATATGCACACTGTACTCAACCTGCCCAGGGAGAGGATCCATTCTCTCATCAAATATTCACCAGCAACCACAGGCTCCCAACTGCCTGCTGCTGTAATGCACACACATTGCTGTGTTATTTGTTGCTGATGTATTTGCTGGAAAAAGTGCCTCGTAAAATGAATGAAAAGTCAATTTTGAGGACAGTTTTTCAGGTTTATGCACCTCAGCTTCAAGTGTAACTGCCATCAATTGCACCTGGATAGAGCAAATCTATAACATCAGTATTATTACTGATGGAACATAAAGCTTGTACCTCATTAAGGAAACTGCGCCATAAATCATAACTTACTTCAGATATGGAAACACAGGAAGCCCCAAATCTGTTTATTTAGAATCTCAGAGAATTGTGTAAAGGGTGCAGATAAAGATACAGAGTATAGTGCATTTGTTACAGTCATTTTCCATTGGGAGATTTAATTTCATAGCTGACTTGTGTTATGTTATCATGAAAGCTGCCATACAGACTGGTGCTGCAAATACAACAGCATTGGTTCATAGACAGCGTGAGAAATTAATCCAAGCAAATCCCACACTGAACATGCAAGTATAACAGATTTGCAATGGCTTTGCAATGATGGATGTTTAATTAAGTCTTTATAAGAAGGCACATTTGCAAAATAAGATGCATTTGACAATATTTTCTGGTGTAGTGGTCTCTGGAGGAGGAACTGGGTGCAAACGTAAAGCTGAGAGTTAATCAGTGATGTTGTACATTTGAGACAAATCTAATTTAATCACTTACAAAGTATGAAGGTACAACAAGACACTTTTAAGAATGTTTCCGAAAATGTCACAAAGGGTGATTAATCTTCTTAACACTTTTAATTAGATCACTCAGCTAAATCCTTACTTTTTCTGTGGAAGCAGCGTCTGTTAATACCTTCCAGTCTAAGTCGCTTAGTGCAGCTTTGAGTCAGGGGGTTCGGATGATTCAGAGTTAGTTAAAATGTTGTTGTGAGCTTTGTTTTTTTTCTAATTTCTTATCTCTTTGCTACAGAGGGGAGAAACTAGACGCTTCATCTTCATCATCATATCACAGTTGTTATCTTATTATTTGTTCATTCCTTTGACTAAGCTGCTTGTCATGTCGAGGATTATAAATGAGAAAAACAATTATTTCTGATGCGGTAGATTCATTTCATGCAATTCTGACTCGACACACATCACTTATTAGTAATTGTTACTTTATAAAGAATGACCGCTAAGACATCTTCAATGTTTCCTTCCTTTTCTCTTTTTTATTTATAGTAATTTATTTCAAATAAATAAAGAAGACAAAAATAAATAGAAACTGTCAATGTTTGAATACAAACATACACATAAATATAGGTATAGAGAAAGAGAGAGAATATCAGTCATATTGATTAGACAAGTAGAGCAGCTCAGTCAACACACAACTCACTCCAGAGGCAGTTTCCCTGCATAATAAACACTCACATACAAGGCCTTGAATATAAAACATTCTGCTGCTATATAACATCTTTTGGGATCTATAAAGAGTCATTCTTCTTACACTGCATGCCTGCTTCAAGCATACACATTTCGTCACTGTCACGCTTTCCTAAGTGATCATCGAGTGAAACCACAGTATCCTATGAGTGTTGGTTTATAGCTTTTTTACTTACAAAAACACACATTCAGATTTTGGGAGAGTCATCTTTGATTGACTGCACTTGCTATTTGTTGTTTAACATCTTAAACCAGCTGCTGGGGTTGTCACAGTGCAGAGGTCAGGGTGATGTAATGAGATGCAGGGATAAAGAGATGGATTAGAGGAGAGAGCAACCCCCACAGGGACACAGATGTAGTGATTACACCCAGATTAATGACACAGCGCTGCGTCACACACATGTACACACACCCATGGCATGTGCATTACATTCACAGAATTTAATGTACTTTAATGCATACAGACACATGCACCCAAACAAAGAATCACAGATGGATTTATATTCAGACCATCGGCTGGAAATGGGCTCCAAAAACATATGACAACACATTGTTATTTTTTAGCTGCACTAAATTACTAATTTATACCTGTCTGACAAGTTGACTTTCAGCATGTTTTTACTTGCATCAGGTATGCCACTTCTCCAGGTTGCCAGATCAGTCAGCACTATTCAAAGATGTGTTGGTCCCATGAGAGGCAAAGCCCCAAGATGAGGAGAGCGCAGAGCTTCACATAACACTCCTCTCCGGGTACATGTTACCTGTTTTTTTTCTTCCCTTTTCCTTTTCCCATCCCTTTCACTGCTTCACTCACGTCACACTTTCTGATTTACAGATTTGCCCTGCCTTCTCTGCTTTGCCTTAGCTAGCAGCAGTAAGGGGAAAATCCAGATGAAATACCGTGGGAAACATCACAGGATTATGGCTGGGAGGCATGTTTTATACATACATAGAAATATGGACACACACACACACACACACACACACACACACACACTGGTGCTCACACTGGTGCTCACACTGGTGCTCACACTGCATTTTAATGACACTATGTGAGAACATCAAAGATCATGGACAGACAGATGACCAAATACAAAATGGTCAGTCTAACCCCTCCTGGTGATGGTTATTTAACGCACATACTGCTGAGGGGCGATACTGTACCTCAGAGACAGCTGTGTCAGCGAGATAACACAGAGCATGTTGACACGATGCTTGTGTGTGCAGTGTGTTCATGTCTATGTAGTTTCAGATTCCCTTTATTTATGTTGTGTATGTATGTTGTCCTCATATCTATTTGGGAAAATACGCACCTTCGAAACTGTAGTCCATTTTGTCCTTACCAGATATGCATGACAAGCTAGTTCCTGTGCCTCTACTGATAATAGCTCCCCTTTGCTTATCGGATCTTATTGATGTGAAGAGTATTGTATTTTATGTTTAACATTCACTTGTTGCACCTTTGTGCTGATAACATCTAGAGATAAAAACGAAGGCTTGCTCGGTACGACCGAATAAACGGATTGTAAAGATTATTAGAAAATAGCCAGGGTTTCAAGCAAATCCAGCTAAGGGAATCTTTTGGTGGTATTAAAAGCACTTTGAAGCTATATAGGACTCTAATAAAGATCTAAATGAAGGCTGAGGACGTAAATCCAGAATATTAACAAAAATGTATTTCCCAGAGGCTTTAATCTGAAGCTTATGTGTCAGAATGGAAGAGAGTTTATGAAGTGAATGGTGTGAAAGCAAACACATTTAGCATGCGGGGTGTGTGCTCAATATGTATAAGGTTAGCCTTTTCTATCACTGATAACTCAAAGGGAGAAGAAAAAGAGAGAAACATACACATGTCTTTTCATATCTGCTGGGCTTTCATTCTGATTTACACAGACATGCTCATCAAGGCTAGTATGCAAACGCAAACAAATTTCACAAAAACACCAACACATACACACTGTGCACACGCTGTATACTGCGCACACTGAGTGTTACTGGCTGTAAAAGGCTTGTTTACAGCCAGATCTCCATGTTCATTTTCCTCTGCCTCATATCCTCCCTTTCCTCACTGACATTTTGTCTTGTAATAAAGCGTTCTGGTACATTGGCTCCTGATGGAAACAGAAGTGCGTGGAAAGGCAACTGGAAAAAAGGAGAGGCGTTCCGGTAGAGGAAAATGATAAGCACTGTCATCTTCACACTGACAGAAACATTGCAGTGGCCTTGGACCCTTTTCTCTCTTTGAAGATCAATTAATTGATTTATAGCATTTCAGTACACAAAATTGGGGTCTTGAAGTTTGAAATGTATGATGTCCAGAAGAAATATGCCCTGCTCCAGACTATCTTTGTTTTTAGCATCTTTTCCGAAATGGCATCTATCTGAGGGGTCAGAAGTTACATCCAGCAGGCAAATGCCAGCTGCAGTCCCAGAAGATCAAAGGCACTTTTAATCCCACCTACAAGGCCCTGTCGCATACATAAGAGACTGATCTATAAGTGGCTAAAGGGACCATTAGGGGCCAAAATAACAGTGTTAACCTGACCAAGGGAGAGCGAGAGCTTTGAAGAGGAGGGGAGCTGAACTGGTTCAGAGCCTGTTGCTATGGTAGCCATGTGGAATAAATCAGCAGCATGAATTCTATTCTCAAATGCCTTCAGCACCTCACCGACTCAGGTAGACCAAGGCAGAATATGAATGAGCATCATATTGGATTTTTGTATTTGATTTTTTTTATTTCCCCAGTATATGGTGCACCATTTGCAAAAACCACATTTCAAATATCATGTTAATTGTACCTATCAGTTAAATTCAAAGTGTTGAATAATTATGAAAATGTTGGTTTATTCTAAGTGATCGCTGCACACAGCTCTCTCACTCTCTTATCTGTGTGGACGTACACTCGGTACACTACGTGATTATTGATAGTCACGACCATAGAGATGACAACATGAAAGGGTCGGCCATCTTTTTTTAATGACAGGTATTTAGAAGGGGCATAGCAGACACAACATTTCCAACCTCAGTCAAAGCTGTTAGTTGAGGAACATTCCATTTAACCCCATTATGAATACATGGAATACAACAAGGGCAGACTCTACAGTGACACAATTAAGAGATAAATAAGGCACAGCATGAAAAAGAGGTGATCCTCCATACTCTATCTTTAGCTGCTACAATTCACTGAAACATCAGATTGTTTGATGTGTCATCTCAGATGAACTGCATATTCATGAAACTGACTCATCAGTTTTTAAGGGCATGCTTGTATGGTCATCCTAAAAATGCTCTTAATAATAAAGTAATGTGGTGTTCTACATTTCTATTTTGTAGTGGCGATTATGAATCCCATCTGCAACACAATAACAAACAACCAAAAAGAGGACAGACTGGTTTAAGGGGGGTGGGAGGCGAGGGGGAGAAAGAGTAAGAGAGAGGTTGGAGTAGCCAGCTGAGAAGGATTACTTTTTCGAATACAGTTATTTACCAGATGTGCACATAAAAACACTGTGATATTTGTTGATAAATACAATATACAATACACACAATACATTTGACCCCAATTGTGTCAATATAAATGTAGACACTTAGAATAACAACAATACATACGGATCAGCCTACTTTTCATCTACAGTTTTCACAAGTGCTTAAATAGTAATTATTTCCATTGGGGGCATAATTATAATAAAACATGCCTCAAATACCCATATTAGTGGTATTGCAATATCTTACTGTATGCATTGTGGTCAATATAACCACACCCACCACAGCTGTGACCACATTACTGTATATCAAATTAGCAGTATCATTTTTCACTGTACAAAAACAATAGCACAACATTTTCCAGTTCATGTCATCTAAAAACAACTACAGAACTCAAAGTAAAGACCAAGAAAATAAGTTATAATAGTACAAAAAAGAAGATTAAAAGGCCATTAGCTTTATCATAGTTTTCTCTCTTAATAGATATACTAAGAGTTTGTCATATTGAGCCATTGAAGGAGAAATAGGGCAGTCTCTGTGTGCGTTGGATCGGGCTGGATCAGTCCACAGGAGTATAAATATTATAATTTTTCTCTTCAAGTCCGAGGCAACATCGCCAAACAGTCGTCCGTTTTCCCAGGGCCTCTGCTCTGACTCTGACATTTATAGTATTTACCCAGGGTCTGCGCCACATAATCAGTAAACACCACACACATAGGGCAAAATGCTGCTTTTTCAATGAAAACATCATGGTTAAACTACTGAATGATATGTAATGAAGCTACTACAGCTATACAGCCTGCTACTGTTGTTTTTCTGTTGCTGCTCATGTTGTAAGCAATGTTAAAACCTTTTACATGGTGCAAACACAGAGTGAGTCTGACCTTTAGACTGTGTGTGTGTGTGTGAGTGTGAGTGTGAGTGTGAGTGTGAGTGTGAGTGTGAGTGTGAGTGTGAGTGTGAGTGTGAGTGTGAGTGTGTGTGTGTGTGTGTGTGTGTGTGTGTGTGTGTGTGCGTGTGTGTGTGCAGTCAATCTCTGCTCTCCTCAGGCGTCCAAGGTTTGCCTGGGCACTCGGTGGGAGTTCTCCTCTCTTCTTCCTTTCCCTCTCTTCTCGCCACCTGGAGAAACATACTTCCTTTTGCCCTTTTTACGTTTTTTATCGGAGCACCACACTCTCTCGCAGTACTCTTCTACTCTCTGGGCATCCCCGTAGCCAATCAGCTGGAGAAACTCCTTGTACCACAGCCTGGAGTGGGGGCCTGGGACTGAGGATGGCACCAGGGCCCTGGGGCTGCTGCTGGGGCCTGGTAGGGGGCCCAAGGAGAAGGGGCATGGAGCTGCAGCTTTCTCTCCGTCCCCATCATTAGCCCTGTTGATCGCAGACTCCACCCTCTCCCCTCTGAGCACGTGGAGAGAGATACGTAACAATGTGTGCACATATCCATGTTCGGCAGTCTGGCACACGTACACACCAGCATCGGAGCTTCTCACTCGTAAAAACAGCAGCCCGTGGGTGGTCATTATAACTCGCTCATCACCTCGAACCTAAAATGGAGATAAAAAAGTGAAACGATTTTTTTTCCTAGCCATTGATGTAGCCATTATTCAAGTCTAGGCATTTTCACTGCTACATTTGTTCCTACCCCAAGAGGGACCTACAGAACTAAAGTATAATTTAAGAACGGTAGAAAGTCAATCGAGCACTCAATACAGTGAATACTGTGAGGAATACAACCATCTCAAGTGTCCATACATAATGCAGCTTTTAATATAATGTTACATTCAAAATATTCAAAGTATAAACATTGAAATATTTTCTGATACCTTTAAATGCATATCCACCATCCCGGTACAAAGAATCCTTATTGATACATTACATATAAATTCCTTTTAACATCTCTTTCAAGAAATAATGTCACAGCCAACCTCACTATGTGAATGTAATTCCGTTCACCAAAATTGCACTGAAGTAGCAGGGTCAATCTATCTATCCGGACAGATTAATAGGGGTACGAAAAAAATGTTGTTCTGGGTAGAGGTTTGCACAAGAGGAATACTTAAAATAGGAATTTACTTACTCATACATCACCTGTACTCTGCTACCTATTAGTGGAGGTTGTATGCAATCCCCCTTGTTAGCAAAATACATGCCCCTTGTTAACCTGCCAGCCCCCTCTTCAGCATCTAGTAGTTAAGTTAAATATGTTGGTCTAGTCTGCCTGACGCATTGATCCTTTATCTGATGGGGGTTTGTGCAGAAGTTATGGCCTTAAACTGTGTGCTGTGTATTGATAAACAGATGGGGCTGTGCGTAGTGATGAAGTAGTATGGTGGGTTTGTAAAAAATACAAAACCTAAAGACTCGTTAATGTGGCGTTGCTAGCTGTTAAACAAAACAAACTCGGTTGGCCTTCTCTGTTAAAAACAACAGATCAAATTATATATTTTTTTGTGTATTGTTTTGTAAAATTCACCTCATGTTTCTCTTCGTCTTTCTGTAAAAACCAGAGGACCTTGGCCTGAAGTGATCGAGGGACACACTCAAGTAAAGTGCTGTTGCTCTCCACACCGTAAACCAGCCTCTCCTCAGATCTGGGTCGTTGTTCATCTACACACACACACACACACACACACACACACACACACACACACACACACACACACACACACACACACACACACACACACACACACACACACACACACACACACACACACACACACACACACACACACACACACACACACACACACACACACACACACCACACACACACACACACACACACACACACCACACACACACACACACACACACACACACACACACACACACACACACACACACACACACACACACACACACACACACACACACACACACACACACACACACACACACACACACACACACACACACACACACACACACACACACCATAAAAGATAGTGAAAAACAAGATTGGAATGAACTCACTTGACCTTTCATTAGCTGACACAAATAGAGTGTTTGGTTCTTTCCCAATCTATCGCCTCAGCAGAAACACACTAACCTCTCACATCCAACAGCAATCAAACATGAAGAGTTCATATTTTTTCATAGTCAGGCAAGTGCTTCTGAAGAACTGCATCATTCCCTTGCTTACAAACAGTAATTGTCTGACATTTATTCTGATAACAATCAAATACACACAAGCATGCTCATGCACACACACATCACACAGTCATTTTATACTAACCATCCATTTGCAGCCCATTGCACAGCTGAACGGCGTTGCCATGGCGAATATCCTGCCGCCTGAATCGTCTGCTGGGATGGGAGTGAGGGAAGTAAAAAGAGAGAGTCATTTTGAACATGTGATGGAAGTGTGAGAGATGGGTGGAGAAAGAAAAAAGGGAAGAAAAATAAATCAAAGAGAGAGAAAAAGATAGAAAGAGGGAGGCGTGATCAAGTGAATACTGATTGGCTTTACAACACATGGCTGTCATGTCTCTTACAGACTGTGATAATGACTTAGCAAACCTCAGAGCGTTGTGACATTCAGAGCAAGATGCTGTGATGAAACAGAAAAGCTGGTAAAGGTGTTAACAGCTGTTATCACACATACACACAGAAAAGATGAGTCTGTATCTATGTGTGTGTGCTGTTACCTTTTAGGGTAGACTCCAGCAGGGTAATATCTGGAGCAGGTTAGACCATCCCATGCACAGTAGGGGTCTCTGGCCAGACAACAGTCAGCACATTCTGAGCCGTAGAGGTCACACTGATGCAGTCTGACCTGAGCCACACCCACCTCCGACCCCACATACAGCTGTTGCTGTGGAACCAAAAGCATAGAAGATTAATATAAAGGCAGTTGAATTGGTTAGGCCTATATTTATATATTTCAGCAGTTTTTACCTCATTTTAATTATATGGCCACAAGGACACAACATTACATGTAAATGATGTCAATTCAAAGTAATAAAACGTGTTACAATGTTAACATCTTGTGGTTAAACAACAGAATTGCATGAACAACAGTATACATTCGAATGGTCATCTTACCCTTTTCGGTGATATTATGATTTCCCTTATTGGGGCTGGCACCTGCAAACAGAAAAACATGTAGCTGTTGATGTTGAGAATTATTCTTCGAACAGCCTGTCCTCCTACAAAAAACGACCATATAGGTTGATTGTTCAGCAGCTAAATACGACCCAGAGTCACGTTTTAAAGTGTAGCACCTCTAGTGGTCGTGTAAGAAACAACATGCTCCTGTCGATTGCAAATGCTCCGGAGGATCGTTTATTCACAAATTACCCTCTGGAAAATCCTAAATTGTGGAATAATTTGGCCATTAAAATGCTTTTTTATTTGATTTCTAGCGAGAAGTGTATATTGTACTTTTATAATCTACGTCCAGTGGATGTGTAGGATCTACAGTTTGATAGATATACGAAGATAATTTGAGGTCTCGCCAGGAGAACGTGTACTGTATATGGGGCAGCTTCCATGTAAAGTTAGCATGGGTGAAAACAGTATTTCCGGTCTCGATGTTTTCATAATAAAACCGGAAGTATTCCCCACACTGTCAAATGATCTCCATTACTCATCCACTAAAAAACATCAGTGTATCCTTGTTAATTACACAATATTGATTGGTTTAAATTGTGTACAATGCTTTTGTGTTTTTAACCTTCGATTCGGAGAAACAAATAGTTTTTTCGGAGTTTAGACACTACAGAGTTTCCGAAGACACTACACTACCCAGAATCCCCAGCTATCGTTTGGGACTACAACATCCGCCTTGCTTTACAAACCCCGTGATTAGCCCTCAAGCTCTGTGATTGGATGTTGGAGTGGCAGTGCGACAAGGTTACGCCGAATGTCAAACAGCTCTTTGAAATGGAATGGAACCACGCCAGACTATCCAAAACTGGACTTGGACGGGTCCAGCCCAGCCCTCCCCCACAAAATTACACATGCTGGCTATTGTGTGTTTCGCAATATGTTCTATGGCACGTCTCTACTGGGAATTGCCTGGAGGTTTAGGGGATACGAAACACATTGGTGTTATCAAATTTAAAACATATAATTAATACATGGGTGAAAATTGCTTGTGCCCATAATGGGCAGCATTAATATACCCACATGACAGCTAAGGTCAGAAGAGCTTTATTTAACAGCTGGTCTTATGTCTGTGACCCCTCCTGTTGTGAATTGATAATACTGAAACATGCACTTGTCAAGGTTCAGATGCACATTTAGCAAATATGGCAGTAGCCATCGATCATCTTAAGATAAGATACTTTATTGATCCCAAGTTGGGAAATGTTTTTGTTACAGCAGCATGTACTACTTTGTTCTACTCCACTACAATTCAGAGGTCAACCTGGTATTTTTACTCTACTACATTTATGTTTGTTACTTTGCAGATTCTGATTAATGATGTGAAATATAAACAACCCTTAAATCAGACTTTCGTTACACCTGAGTAAAATTCAGCCTTATCAGTTTGTCTGTTTTGCACATCCACCTGTTAATATCTTTGGACGTCCTGCACTAAACTGTTTTATTGTAGCGATCACTACAGTATCTTCTTGATATTTTCAATTCTATATTTCTATCATTGACCCCTATTTTGTATGTAGGCTACTCTTAATATTTAAATGTTTTCATAAAAATTAAACTTATTCAACAACTAAATTCAATAACGTGCTTTAACCACTAGGAGGTACGGTTTAGACCAGTGGTCTAGTTAATAAAACATAATAATATCAAACATAATATGACTTCACTTTATTGTGAAATTAAAACAGAACGGTAAAGGAAAATACAGTTTCAGTCTCTCAATGTGAAGCTTATGCATTGTACCATACACTTTTATAGACCTGTAACAGTCAACTGCATGAGGAGTTGGAAAGGTAGTTCAGAAAATCAGTAATATCTTTAAAAACTACAAAAAAATCCCTTTCTATCAGCTGTGCACCGTTATGGTGTAAATATAGACTATCTACTTATTGGATCAAATATAAAAGTCAGCCGAATTAGTGTTGATACTGCAAGGAGACGTATTGTGTGAAAATAAATGGAAGATGTTGTTTAATTGTTGATATGTTATGGTCCACGTCACATATTCAGTTTTGGCGACATCTCTTCCAGTTTGTCAAAAGGTCTTCCGAACCGTGTATTACAATGCCGTTATGTGATGACTTTCAAAGAGAAAAGCAAGAACACTCGGAATAAAGTATTTTTATTTTTTTTTTAAAAATGTTTTCCGATTTCATATCACATAAACACCATATCCCGACGTGCATTGCGGCGTGATTTTAGCCTATCAAAACCTCTGAAAAAAGAAATGTGTCTCTGTGGTGCCGAGAGACGGGAGTCGGAGGCGGGGTATCAAAGTTACAAGCTCTACTTTTATTTAGCATCGGAACACACATGTAAACAACTTCATGCCCGGGAAGCGAAGACCGGCGGAAACAGGAAGTCCGGCTCACTCAAATGTCCGTGCGGAACAATACCCCAACCCATAGATCCGTGGGTGAATAATGTCAATCACCACACAAGCCCCCCCAGTATTCACCCATAGTCAAAATCCTCGTGCCTGGGAGGAAGTACCACCCGACCCCGGCGCGTACGGACCACAGGGGCCGAGGAGGGCGGGGCCGCAGGCGAGGGCAGGGGCGCCAACGAGGGCATCCCCACAGGGGGCGGGGGGCGGGCCATGGGAGGGCGGCCCCGACGTGGGGGCAGAGCCAACTCCAACGGCCTGGAAATGTCCACGTGAGCAGGCTTAATCCGATCAACGGACACAGTCTCAGGCCTGCCACCAACGTCCACCACCAGGCTCTTGTCCCCGTGACGTATGACCCTGAACGGACCGTCGTAAGGGGGCCGCAGGGGACCGCGGTGGGCGTCGTGGCGAATAAAAACGAAATCGGCCGACCGTAATCCGGGGGACACCCGGAAAGCTGGGTTGCTGTGCTGCGACGTGGGGACGGGCGTGAATGTCCCGGCGGTCTCCAGCAGGGAGGAGCGCTGCCCGGCTGCAGACCAGGGCACAGGGAATGAATTCCCCAGGGACCCGTAGCGTCTGACCATAGACGAGCTCCGCCGACGAGGACTGCAGGTCTTCTTTGGGGGCACACCTGAGGCCGAGCATAACCCACGGGAGCTTATCCACCCAGTTGCCGTCTATCAAGCCGGCACGCAGTGATGCCTTCATGGACCGGTGAAACCGCTCACACAATCCGTTAGCCTGGGGGTGATATGCAGTGGTGCGGTGCAGCTTGACCCCCAAACCCACAGCAACAGCGTTCCACAGCTCCGAGGTGAACTGAGAACCGCGGTCAGAGGAGAGGTCAGACGGGGTCCCGAATCGCGCCACCCACGTGCCGATGAAAGCGCGGGCGACGTCGGAAGCTGATGTCGAGGCGAGGGGAACGGCCTCGGGCCAGCGGGTCGTCCTGTCCACCATCGTAAACAGGTAAGTGAAACCGTGAGAGGGGGGAAGCGGACCTACGAGGTCGACATTGACATGGTCAAACCTCCTCTCAGGAACCGCAAAAAGTTCAAAAGGGGCCCTAGTATGGCGGTGGACTTTGGCCCGTTGACAGGCCACGCACGAGTCGACCCAGGACCTCACGTCCTTCTTAAGCCCCTGCCACACGAACTTCTGTGACAACAACTTCACGGACGGCTTCCTACCGGGGTGGGAAAGATTGTGAACCGCCTCAAAAACGGGTCGACGCCAGTCCGCAGGGACCAGCGGTCGAGGCTGGCCTGTGGAGATGTCACACCACAGCTTTGCGCCAGAGTCACCGACCGTGACCTCCTCCAGGCGTAATCCCGTGACCGAGGCCTTGAGGGTCTGGACGCGCAGCGCCCATGCGGAGGTAATCGAGGCCCAGCTGCACAGCTCCGATGACCGCTCTGGAGAGGCAGTCCGCGACCACGTTAGCCTTGCCAGCGATGTGTCGTATGTCCGTGGTGTACTCGGAGATGTACGAAAGCTGGCGTTGCTGTCGGGCGGACCACGGCTCGGCCACCTTGGACATGCAGAAGGTCAGTGGCTTGTGATCCACGAACGCCGCAAACTCCCGGCCTTCCAGCAGGAAACGGAAGTGGAGAACCGCCAAATAGAGACCAAGGAGTTCTCTGTCGAAAGCGCTATACTTGCGCTCCCTGGGAGTCAACTGGCGACTGAAAAAGGCGAGTGGCTGCCAGGCACCGTCGACCCATTGTTCATGCACCGCGCCCACTGCGTAGTCAGACGCGTCAGTGGTGATAGCGATGGGGGCCCTGTGTGACGGGTGAGCCAACATGGCGGCTTTGCTCAGGGCGGCTTTGGTGGCGTTGAAAGCGACCTCCCTTTCAGCCGTCCAGTCTATGGCCTGGCCGGGGGATTTGTCCCTGAGGGCCTCGTACAGCGGGCGCATGGTGTGGGCCGCCCGGCGGATGAACCGGTGATAAAACGTCACCATCCCGAGGAACTCTCGGAGCGCCCGAGCTGTAGGCGGTCGTGGAAAGGCAGACACGGCTTCCACTTTCGACGGGAGGGGGGCGGCCCCGTCCTTGCTGATGAGGTGCCCGAGGAAATGGATGGAGGACAACCCGAACTGACACTTCGCCGGGTTGATAATCAGGCCGTGTTGGTTGAGCCTCGCGAAAAGGACCCGGAGATGTGCCTGGTGCTCTTCGGAGGAGGAGCTGGCGACCAGGATGTCGTCTAAATAGACGAAGATGAATGGCATGTCTCTGAGCGCTGAATCCATCAGCCGCTGAAAGGACTGAGCTGCGTTCTTAAGTCCAAACGGCATACGCAGGAACTCGAAAAGCCCAAACGGCGTAATTACCGCAGTTTTGGGGACGTCCGAGGGGTGCACCGGAACCTGGTGGTAGCCCCGCACCAGATCCACCTTGGAGAAAACCAGCTTGCCCGCCAGGTGTGCAGAGAAGTCCTGGATGTGAGGGACCGGGTAGCGGTCTGGCGTAGTGGCGTCGTTAAGGCGGCGGTAGTCACCACACGGTCGCCAGCCACCGGCTGATTTAGGGACCATGTGAAGCGGCGAAGCCCAAGGGCTGTCTGAGCGGCGGATGATGCCCAGACGCTCCATGTTGACGAACTCTGACTTGGCGACTGCCAGCATGTCAGGGTTAAGCCGCCGGGCCCTAGCGTAGACAGGGGGGCCTTCAGTGGCAATGTGGTGCTCTACCCCATGTTTGGTAGTGGCAGCGGAAAAGGTGGGCTGCGTCAAGTCGGGAAACTCACTGAGAAGGTGCTGGAACTTGTCGCCCTGTGAGAGTGAGCTGGAGAGCCCGCTGAATGACGCCTCGCTGCGGGTACACGTGAACGAGGCAAACGTCAGTGCGTCCACCAGGCGGCTGTTCTTGACGTCCACCAGCAGTCCGTGAGCGCACAGGAAGTCTGCGCCAAGGAGAGCGAAGGAGATGTCAGCCGTGACGAAATCCCACTTAAACCGCTGACCCTCGAAGCACAGGTCCACTGTCTTTGTGCCATAGGTGCGAATAGGGGTGTCGTTAGCGGACGTTAAAGGTGGGCCGTGGCCTCCACCGGCAGCGTCCTCCACGGTAGCCGGCAGGACGCTCCGCTGGGCTCCTGTGTCACAAAGGAGTCTGCGACCAGAGAGGGTGTCCCTGATGAACAGGAGCCGGTTGGATGTGCCCACGCTCGCGGCCACTACAGAGCGCAGGCCTTGGCGTTTCCCGTTACCTTGTAGGTGCAGGGAGGATGGCACATCTTCGCTTTCGCCCCATAGCGTGCATGGTAATAGCACAGGCCAGGGCTGGAGTTGCTGACGTCGGCCCCGGAGCTTCTGCTAGGTGGCATGCCTGTACCAGGGAAGGTGCCGCTGCGTGTCGGTGCCAGCACCTCCGGGGCAAAACGCTGGGTTGCCAGGAAGTCTGCTTCTTCGGCCAAAGCGCGGGGCTCAGTAATAGCCGTGTTAGCAAGCGCTGTCTGTACATGCGGCGGCATGTGCCGAATAAACAGTTCTATGAACAAAAAATTAGGTTCTTCCGTACCCAGCAGGCTGAGCATCATCTCCATGTGGTCAGAAGGCTTGTTGTCCCCCAGGCTATGAATAGCGAGCAGGCGTCGGGCCCGTTCCGACCGTGACAGCTCGAAAGTCTTTAGCAGGAAAGCCTTGAACGCTGCATATTTATCCTGGGCAGGAGGAGATGTAATAAAGCCCACCGTCCGGGTCGCAGTGGAGCTCCCCAGCGCCGAAACGACGTGAAAATAGCGTGCTGCGTCGTCAGCCACTCCGCGGAGGGCGAACTGAGCCTCCGCCTGAGCGAACCATGCAGCTGCAGATGTCTCCCAAAACTCCGGCAGTTTGAAAAAAACGGCGTTACTTGCCATGCTCGGTTCAGTCTCGGATCCTTCAACAAGACTTATGTCGGGGTCACCAATGTGGTGCCGAGAGACGGGAGTCGGAGGCGGGGTATCAAAGTTACAAGCTCTACTTTTATTTAGCATCGGAACACACATGTAAACAACTTCATGCCCGGGAAGCGAAGACCGGCGGAAACAGGAAGTCCGGCTCACTCAAATGTCCGTGCGGAACAATACCCCAACCCATAGATCCGTGGGTGAATAATGTCAATCCATAAAGTATTATTTTTTTTTTTTTAAATGTTTTCCGATTTCATATCACATAAACACCATATCCCGACGTGCATTGCGGCGTGATTTTAGCCTATCAAAACCTCTGAAAAAAGAAACGTGTCTCTCAGAATCGAAAGAGAAAACCCTATGGGAAAAACACAAAAGCATTGTACACAATTTAAACCAATTAATGTCGTATAATTAACTAGGATAAACTGATGTTTTTTAGTGGATGAGTACTGCAGATATCACTGTTAAATCATTTGATCATTGGTTTTATTATGAAAACGTCGAGACCGGAAATACTGTTTTCAACCCGTAACTTTACATGGACGCTTGCCGCATATACACGTTCTCCTGACGAAACCTCAAATCATCTTCGTAATATCTATCAAACTATAGATCCTACATAACGACTGGACGTGGATTCTAAAAGTACAATATATACTTCTCGCTAGAAATCTAATCATAAAGCGTTTTAATGGCCAAACTATCCTACAATTTAGGATTTTACAGAGAGGGTTATTTGTGAATAAACGACCATCTGTAACGTTTGCATTCAACGGGAGCACTAGAGGCCGACAACTTTAAAACGTAATTATAGGTCGTATTAAGCGCTTGAACAAACGACATATTTGGTCGTAATAAGGGCTTAAACAATCGACCCATTTGGTCGTATGAGTTGGAGGACTTGTTGTCTTCGAAAGCTAAAAGTAAAAAGTAACAAGTGCTGACTCTAAGTTCTTTATCACTGAAGGCCCCCCGTCATGCTTCTATCCATTCAAAATATTTAATTAAAATTGCAGCAGCAACTGCTTGCAGTCTGGTTTTCAAATGTATCCGATATTAATAGAATGTATGTATTCAAATCATTCTAAAGATCTCTCACAGTAGGCCTAATACCCAATCATTCTTGTTTCCCTCTGATGATGGACAAAAGGAAATCAGCAACCAGTTTCAGTCAGACAAATCTGCTTAATATGTAACTGCAGCAATAATGGAAGGTTATTTTCTTGGCAGTACAATTTAGAATTTGCTTGGTTACAAAGTATTAACTACTTGGCTTTCACATTTATCAGCTAGAAATAGAGTACCTTGAATACTTGCAGCTCTTCCAGCAACACCTCCTCCATAGAGTCTGTGTCTTTGTTGTAAATGGTGATAACTTTCAACACCACTGAGTCGTCTAACAAAAGAGGACATTTGTCTTGTGAAAAAAAAGGTTTAAAAGGCAATGAAGTAAAACATTTCCTTGAAAATCCCAGATTGAAAACTGTCTCAGTGTATGGAAAACTGTTGTTTTTCACTTATATATTTTAAATGACTTTATGCTAACAGAAAGACAATTTCAATGGCAAAAGGGATGTTAGTGCACCCAAATGTTGAAAGTACCTCCTGTAAATCTGTTATTTTGCCAATAGTATAATTTCAAGCAGTTTTTAGTGACTTTGTACCGGTTCCGATGTAGAGAACATGATAGTGTCCGTCCTGGGCTTGGACTCTGTCCACAGCGATCTGGGTCAGCTTCCTCCTGCCCTCTGTCTGCAGCAGGACAGGTCTTTGATGCTGGGGAAGGACTGGACGATACATCACAGGATTCGAACGCACAAACCGCAAAACCTCATCAGGAAACTCCTTAGAGCTGGAGAAGCCACCACCGTTCACTTTACTGGCACACTGTTAACGAGATAATGTGACAGAAAGAGAGGGAGTAAAGTAAGGACAGAGACAGAGGGGGGCAATTAATTACATCGGCCTTTTATGCAGCATAGAGAAAATCTGACATGCTTTAGTCTGGCTCAGACTGTCCCCGTATGACCTGCTGAGGTGGCTACAACAGTGCTGACATTTACCCGAGATGTCCTACATGCTTTCATCGCTTACCCTCACAAAGGACCTCTGTCATGGACACAGAGTATTGGGGAGTGCTGTGAATACATGATTGGTGCTAACGAAACAATATATGCTTTAACAATACTTTATTCAGACTTATACTCACAGATCCAGGTCGAGGGTAAGGGACTCTACCCTCATAAGGTGTCCAGTGATGCTCAGGCCTCTCCCGGTAAGCAAATGGACCGTTAAAGGCTGCTCTTATATCATCCATGTGATAGACACACACTGCAAAACCTTTAAACACCGTACTGTAAAAGAAGGTTTGATATGTTATTTGAGGGATAGTACAAATTGGACTGTGATTAAATGCAGACCTCACACTTCATGTACCTTGTTGTGCTAAATAGGCCAAAGATTTCTGGGTTTTTGCCATCCTTGTTCTTGAGCACAAACACATCCTCTGAAACACAACATTTAGAAATTAGCTTTTAGTTAGCAACACTAGTTTGACATTTGAGTTTTTCAGGTAAATGTTAAGGAAAATTCGACACGGTCAACATGGTGAACATTAAATGTGCTGATCATGAGCATTTTAGCACTGTCATTGTAGGCATGTTAGCATGCTGACATTAGCATTTAGCCCGAAGGCACTGCAGTGCTAATGTTACAGCTTCACACAGCTGCTAACATGGTTAAGGCAGTTTATTAAGGGACAGGCATACCATTAACAGGTTTTTAATTTCAAGGTTTTAGGATTATTCAACAGATTTAGAAAGAGGTTGAATGTTTTTATCCTGCAGTACATAGACAGATATCCTTTGTTTAAAATAGAGGGGTTTTAGCTCTACTACACCATCTGGCTGTAGCTACATCTTAAGGAGACAATCAGGAGTGTTTTTTGCGTTGCTACTAAAAATTGGTAGTATTACTGCTGCAGGTCGAGCTCACAATACAACAGGTACATTACTGTCAAGAAAAGAACCCTCAACGTTTAACATGACATTATTAAGAAAACATGCTTAGAGTTTCATGTAGCCCCACCAAGTTCATCAAAGTGTGTATCAATGCCATTTGGTCCAGCCACAGAGCAGATAAGACGAGTTTTCAGGAAGGAGCTCCATCTATTCACCAGCATTCTCTGTCCTCCTTGGTCATTCTGACAGATGAAGGCAGATATAGAATGTGAGTGCAATTCCTGGGCTTTAGCTGGATAACGGCCAGAAATCTTTTTACAGCATTGGCATTCTCACCGCACAGATTCGCCCAACACGAGTATACACAGCCTTGTTCAGTCCTTCAGCATTCATCTCTCGCTCAGTGAAGAAGAAGTACACTTTATCATCATCCCTGTCATCGTTGTCTGGAATAACTGCCGACCCCACAAATTTAGGTTCTGCAGGGAAAATCATTTGTCAGAAAATGTACAATGAATTCAAACAATTTTATAAGCTTTTATTGAATATGTATGCAAATATTATCGCAATATCCCAGTACTGATTTTTGGAATATGTTTTGAAATATTATTGATTCATACATTTTTGAAAACGTACTTTTTACCTCAAGCACTCCATTGAATTTAAATTAAGATCCTTTTTTTGTAGTTTAGTAAACAAACCATTGAGTTGCTGCCTGTCGTCTCTTTCAGTGCGCGTGTAGGTCTGGTTGTTCAGTCGACAGAAAGCACCATCATTCTCCCAGTAATCAGTGTAAAGACCAATATACAGCTCTCCTCCTAATAAGTGAAAATGCATATGTTATCAACTGTAAAACCAATTTTGCGGTGATTGAAATACATGCATTAAATATAGGACCACAAGATGGCAGTATTGACTGGTTAAAGGTAAACACTTTGTGCTCAACTGATGTTGAGTGAGTGACAGAGTGAGCAGTGTCTTACTGGAGAGTGTAGACGTACAGGGACTGTTAGGATCGTATGGACAGCGTCCTCTGCCACTCATGATGCTGTCTTCTTCAAGAGAAAACAGCTTATCCTGAGAACAAAACACATATATTCATATACAGGAATATGATGCAAATATGCTGGAATATGAATTCAGCCAGAACAAACATTTAGTAGCTGTTTCCTTGCCATTTCTTGAACACCAGGAGGTTGTGTGTGATAAAGAGATAAAGCTGAACTAGAGAGAGGAGGGATCAGGAAGTGATTGATGAGGAAGAGGAAGAAAGATTGATGAGACAGGAAGTGATGGATGACCAGAGAAAGGAGTTTTGTCTGGAAGTGTATAACCCACTATGGCCTGCTCTTATATCATATTGAATTCACTACTCCTACTCTTCTGAACCTATTGCCCTGCACAGCAGGTGGTGATTGCACACATACACATAGAACTGAACTCTCTTTAGAATCAAAGCTCATATCTTTTGAGCCACCAGAGTGTTTATGACTGTTACTGGCAGATCAGAGGAAATGTCATGTGTTGATTTATGAGTAGCCGTGGCACCCTACTGTGCTGTGACCATCGCCCGATCTACGACTGTAACAGAAGTCCAGTCTTGAATTAAACCCATCCATCATATAATCACAAAACCAGAAGAAAAATAGTTAAAAAAGGCTCACGTAATAGATTTTTTAAATGTCTAGGGCAGTGGCACAAAAACTCTCAATTTGTTTATCTGGGATTGGCAAATATGACAATAGTATTTTTTGTAATTACGGAAATATTATTCTGCTCAAACTTTATGGTAATCCTAGACTAAGTGTAATCTCATACACCAAGTATTATAATTTGTCTGACCTTTATGCAACCTTGGAGAGAGATTAAGTGGCTTATACGGTCCCGGTTTTGCTCTCTCTAAGGGCATTCCAATGATATGAGTGATGAATGGTTCCTGTTTGAATGGCGTGAGTGGCCTTGTCGACCTACTGGACTAGTGTTGGAATGCAGGGCGGAAACCTTCTCCGATCTTTACACTCTAAATACACCCTAGAAACACACACACACACACACACACACACACACACACACACACACACACACACACACACACACACATACACACACACACACACACACACACACACACACACACACACACCACACACACACACACACACACACACACACACACACACACACACACACACACACACTGAGGACTGTTGCATGTTCGGCGTATGTGATAAAAGTGTCATACTAGAGCCAAACATGCTACAGATGGATACAAGCTATTTTGCATGGACACCAGTGCGCAGGAAAAACACTCCTGTGCAACAGACACACAGAAAAACACATATTTGAATTGACCCCTGAGTGTGTCTAAGTCTAAACAAACCTCTTGGAGCATGCTTCAATAGAAAGGAGCACCTGGCCTGTTGTCCCTGTTTAGCTGGACAGTAGATGCGTCAAATTGTTTCAAAATGAATGAGAACCTTGTGCAAAAACATTATGTCTTTCTCTAAGAAAACCAAAACTCCACCCTCTCTTACTCACTGTCTTTTCCATATCCACCCTTCACATTACTCCTTGTTGCTAGGAGGATAAACTCAAGTAGTCAGAGTCCAAGCTGTACTAACAGTTTAAGGAGCTCCTGGCTAAAACATAGAAACTGTGTGAAAAAGGTTTTGGCTACTCCAACAAAACACTAAAGTGTCGAGGAGAATTACACAATGTAAAATAAATATGCAACAATTCCATTGGAAAACATCGTTTTTTCCACCAGTTCTTTGCAGTGAAAATCTGGAGCTCATAAAAGGCAACCACTGATGGGGCGAAGCCTGCGATCTAGTTCAGGCAGTCAACTCGAGCACTTGTGCTGCATTCATACTTAACGCCCCTTGCCACTCTACAACCAACCAAACAGAGTCTCCTTAATATGCCGCTCTATTTAACCTGCCAGATATCTCTCTATGCAATGCTTGCTGCTGCTATTGCTGCAGCAACCTCTACGTCGCTGCTGCTTGCCTGCCCTACCACCACCCCAGTTTCCACCCCAGCTTCCACCTGTAGGCTCGGGGGGTTAGTAATTTAATCATCACTCATCGTGCTATGTATATCTGTGGACTGATGAGGTCCGAGCCTAGATGCCAAACTCAACTATATGCTGCTTCTAATAAACATGTTAAAGAAACACGTGAGTTGTCTGACTGAATTACAGTTCTTAAAGCAGGAAAAGAAAGAAACACCAAAAGAAATGTCCAGCGTGGATCAAGTCATTTCTGGAGAAATATTTTCCAACGCCCATAACTCTGACCCAGTTTATCAGTTTATACTGACCTCACTGAGCACACACACCTGTAGCCTTGGAGGCTGTGCTCTCAGTGTTTTGTCTCCCTGATCCTGTCTGTTGGCGTCAGCTGATAGAGGTGTTATGATTCTATCTTGTTATGCACAATGTTGATTATTCTCTCAGAACTAGCTAAATACATTGGTCTGGGGTAGAGATCTTGAGAATTGGTTTGGCATCTCAACCTGTGTCAACTCGTGGCTCATGACATGTCTTGTGAATTCTCCGGCCGAAGCTCCAAATAAACCGTCAGTGTTTTCCATCAAAGTTCCAGCTCTCCTCGTGTCTCTCTGAGTCCTGTTTCCAATTGCTTCAGAAGTTTTCCTCACAATATCAAAGTGTGGTTTGACTTTGAAAATATCTCAAGATGGGGGAAACCTTTCGGTACTATTTGAATGTTTGGTTGTGAAACTCTAATGCTGTGTTAGGGACTCACCTGCCCTGTGTGTCCCACTCTGACCAGGACACAAACTGGGTTAAAGGCTCCCGTTCCACAGACCAGCAGATGGGTCTGGTTGTACTGTTGCAGGACCTTGATGTAGTTAGCACACTCCGACTGTTGGAAGAGATACAGGCAGCAGTGGGTGGGACGGAGGGTGGTTGGGTTAGGGGTCATGAAGACAGATTGAGGACAAGCGGAGAAAATATTGTAGCGGAAAAATGCCAGAACTGCCAAATGCCAAACTGCCTCATCAATACTTCAGGTTGAACAGAGGTTAATGAGCACAGTAAGATATGTAATTGAATCCACTCGTGTTGGCAGCGTCTATCTATATAATTGACCTATCTTTCTAGAATAATTTTAATAAACTTTATATATAAATGTAATTTTTAACTGAGATGTATCAATGTAAGCCACACTACCCAATGCGCAGTTGAGAACATATTGGTATACAGTCATGAACTGGATGTCCCTTACCTTTTCCCTCCCCTTCATCAAACACTCCTCAATCTGAGATTCTGTAGTGGCCCACTGGATCTGTGAAAAAAAAGTAAAAGTCAAAATGACCTATTATAAAAAATGGCATTGATGTATAGTTAAACATGTGACCAGGCAGTCACTATCCACTACTGCATAATTATCTCTCAAGGGTATCTTGCCATCTTTTTAGTTTCGAATTAAAACATCTCACAGACATATGAAGAGGCACACGTGTTTGGCTAACCTATTGCCCTATGGGTTTGTGAGTTCAAAATGTCTAATTTCCTGGGAGGGATGAAAACAGGCCCACCTCTCTGTGGTGTGTGTTAACCTGGTCCAGGCTAAGGGAGAACAGAGTATTCTTGGCCCCGACATAAATCCTGTCGTGGCTCTCATCCAGCAGCATGGTCTGGGGCTGAAGAGATGCTCCATGTGCCTGGAACACCCAGGTCCTGTTCAGCTGCCAAAGCTCTGCAGGCAACAACATGAACACAAATAATTAACACAAAAGTATAGCAGCACAATAGAAACCTGCTATTTTACAATTTAAGGATCTACAGAGTTTTCAATTCAAACTGAAATCCTCATTTTCTTCTGTATAACCAGCAAGATTACGTTTGACCAAATCCCAATCCTCAAGGGATTCTTACTTCTCCAGTAACATGTGCCCCAACTTCTCCCATGGCCAAGGTCACATTACCACATGTGTTTCTGATTCACTGCTTCCCCAAGGGAACAGCAAAGAGCAACAGCATTGCTATCTTCCCATCTCATCCCTCCCTCTCATGTGGCACCTATGCCTCCTTTCATTACATTTAGATGTGCTTTATGTGTCATTCACTAAAAAAAAGTCTTATTTTTATATTCATTAAAGGTTTATAAGGCATAAAAGAGTGTCATAATGCATAAAAGAACACGGGTAACCGACATTTCAGGCATTAGTACCTACCAATAAATTGCCTTAAAGACTCCTGAAAGGAGAACTGACAGGACATAATGACAATTTATAAAAGCAGGGTTGAACAAAGGTGGATATGGGTCTTGGGAAAGATGTTGTCATGATTTGGAGGGACATTTGATGTGCAAAGCATGGTCTATCATCGTCTCTTAAACCGAGAGAAAACAGTTTTATCTCACAGGAAACGGAACAAGTCTTTTTATCAGCAGTTATTTTGATATACGCCACCACTCCCTGTCAGTCTTGCTTAAGGTAATTTAAATTGACATATCTGTCAAGATCCATTGCTTCCTTTTTAATACAAACACACACTGATCTGAATGATCCCAGACCAATAGATAGTCTGAATGCAAATGTGTGAAACACCCAGTTGAGTGTACCTGATTGAACATGACAGGCTACTCCTTTACCTGCTCTCTGAATGCTTCTGGTGAGGTTGAGGGTGAATGATTTTAAATAAAAAGCCTTAGAGTAATGCACTTCCTCTGGATTTTAATGGCCTTAAAAACCTTTCATTAACACATGACCACGTTGGACCGGGTGTCCTTGTCAAAACAATTAAAAGTAGGGATCTGGTCTGTGTTAGCACCGCTTTTCCAACCTTAGACAGATTCAAATAGACAAGCCTGAGTTTTTGGATCGTATTCATAGCACCAGCATTGCACAGGCTGTTTTCTCTCAATTTGTTATTTTCATGCCTACATTACAGTTTTTCTCGATTGCTAACACACTAACATTATGCATAAAGCACAATTATTTTAACCGACACTCAAAGAGCAAAACATCGGCTCAAATCTCCAAAACTCTAAACAGGTTTTCAGCTTTTCACACAATTTGCAAATCAACATGGCACTTTTTGCAAACCACTGCACACATTTCTCCATGTAAGACACAGGAAGTCACGTGTTAGCAGGTTTAAAACACTGATATTCAAAATGCCTCACACATGGACCAATAATCAAGAAACACGTTCCACCTGACCAAACACCTGATAGCATCATTGTTGGCTCATCAATCAGGATGTTAGCACTATAAAAAGACCACAGGTGAGTACTTTCTTACAGCAACAATGGAAGCCAACATGGAAGCAAGAGCAAGAGGAAGAGGAGAGGAGGAGGAAGAGTACTCTCTAATGAAATGAAATGTTATCAACCATGGTTTGACGATGAGAGAGGCTGGACAGAGGGTTCAGCCTAATCTAAGCCGATTTACTGTTGCCTCTGTAATCCGGACACTTAGACTTGAAAACAGGTTTGTTACCAGTTTGTAGCTCTGCATAATTCATGATATATCAGTGCTTATATCTGTTGTGTGAAACGTATTTACTTCATTACTGTAATTCAATTGTTGGCATGCTGCATACTATAACTGTACACAAATCCTGCACAATATACTGTGGTAAACTTACTTTGATGCAACACAGACACTGACCGACCAACACTATATCTTTGTTGTTTATCTGAAGGACTGAGAAACAAAGAGGAAGGCTAAGGGTTTTCAATGAGGCACAGGAAGCAGCAGTTACAAACTGGGTTTGGCAAACAATGCATCACACTTAGAGAGATCCGAAGCATAGTAGCTATGTGCTGAGATGCATGTTGCACAATGTTATTTTTGAATAAAATGTGATTTTTTTCAACAACTCGTTTGTATTTCTTCCTTTACTGTATTTCTGTAAACTCAAGCAATCTTTCTCTGCAGAAACCTCTACTGTATGTACAGAGCATATCCCATAACAGATGAACGTGCTTTAGATTATGCTCAGCAGTGTGTAGCTGGGTGGTCAAACAATCTAGTGTTATGAATGAAGCGTGTTATATTTGGTGCATTTGCTAAGTCTTAATGTAGTTTTGAGTGCAGTTCTTCACTTAGCAGGATAAATGAGGAGTTTTGCACTTTGGGTGTGTGGTTTTGTGAATTGTGTTCTGAGAAACTGAGCAATTAAAAAATAAATGTGTGTTAGCAATCGAGAAAAACTGTAAGCTGTCCACATTCTACTCTTAAGAAAACTCCCTTTAAATGAAGAGAGGTGAAAAAAAGAGACCCCTGCATGATTGTAATACTATGTCAACCTTACAATACCTCAAATAACGCTGAGATGTCTCTACATACTAGGGTAGCAGGGGGCAATTGTATGATTTGTTTTCCTAGCATCTGTATATTTTGAGGGATACTTGATCTCCAAGAAAGAAGTAGAGAGTGTTTATCCTATTTGTGCAGATTAGTCATAGTAACAGCCTACACTCGTAGAAGTTGTGTTTGTTTAACATAGGATTAGGTATCCACAGAGGATTGGTCGACTTGTATATTTTGTTGGCTATTAGGATTTCTATGTTGGAGAAAAGCCACTGTTTGTTTGAGTAGCATTAGATCTTGGCGGTTAGGTGGCAGAAACTGAGGGGATGTGGCAGTGGTGTTCTGCCAGCGTTCAGACATGCTTCCTGTAATTATCTAATCCACACACACTTAGAGATCTTTCTCTCTGTCTCTCTCTCTCCCACCCACACACCCACACACACACACACACACACACACACACACACACACACACACACACACACACACACACACACACACACACACACACACACACACACACACACACACACACACACACACACACACACACACACACACACACACACACACACACACACACACACACACCACACCCACACACACACACACACACACACACACACACACACACACACACTGTCTCGCCTCTCTATCTCCTCACAGTCCCCTCTGAGTATAGCTCAGCTTGGATCAAGGACAGTCCTCTAACATTTCACTCCACCTTTTCTACAAGTGTTAGACCAGGCTCTCAAACAATCAGCTCCTTCTTTTGGTGAAGTCCAATCTGCTACCACTTATTTAGATGACAGACGTAAACGGATATTTAAACTGATGGAGTAAACAGTCCATAAGCTAAAGCCTTTTTTCCGTCTACTTTTCACCTGTCTTTGTCAATAATCCTGAGTGGCAGCTGATTTAGATGGACACACGCTCACAGCCAGATTCATATATTCTCTAGCTGTCTCACGCTATATAACAAATAAACAAAACTGCAGATAGATTTAGTTTTATAATTGTTTTCACATTTTTAAAGTTAATACCTTGTTTGTTTTGTTCGAGGAGAAAGTAGAAACTAACAATAACCAGCTTGAAACTTGAAACATAAAAAAGAAGAAGAGGATGACAGAAAGCTAGAAAGTATCCAATATATAAGAGTTACTATAAAGCACAATTGGTGGATGTGATTACACTGACAACCTGAAAGATACTTCAGAGACACAATGCTGTTTAAGAGGTTACTCCTCTGTCATTATATGTGCACAAGTTAAAGACAGATGCAGCACTGCTGAGCCTGAAGAAGGGAAAGGGGGGATTTCCACAATCCCCCTCTCCTCTGCTCTCTCTTTTTTCACGCCATCTGCAACCAGTGAGGGCTACTTAGCTAAGGAACTGAGAGGAGGAGGAGGAGGAGGGTGTTTCTCCATCGGCAACTGAGCTAGGGAGACACATGGCCTCCACTGTGATCCCACTTCAAATGGAAAATACAGAGAAAAAGGACTCCCTCAAGACACACACTTTCATCGGCTGTCTGAGGAGTGCTGAGAGATGCCCGAGAAGATTTGGTTAAGTGAAATCAAAATAAACTGTGTGCTGTCCTCCTTAAAAGGAATCACCAATGTGTGTGTGTGTGTGTGTGTGTGTGTGTGTGTGTGTGTGTGTGTGTGTGTATGTGGAGCAATTTGGGGTGATGTGTCTTGCCCAGGGACACAACGACATGCTCTGCAGTGGGACTCGAACTCGCTATCCCCTGATTTGAAGTACAACACACTATCCACAAAGCCACAGCCTCCTTAGCAAAGTGTAAAGAGAGTGTGTGTGTGTGTGTGTGTGTGTGTGTGTGTGTGTGTGTGTGTGTGTGTGTGTGTGTGTGTGTGTGTGTGTGTGTGTGTGTGTGTGTGTGTGTGTGTGTGTGTGTGTGTGTGTGTGTGTGTGTGTGTGTGTGTGTTTCTAGGGTGTATTTAGAGTGTAAAGATCGGAGAAGGTTTCCGCCCTGCATTCCAACACTAGTCCAGTAGGTCGACAAGGCCACTCACGCCATTCAAACAGGAACCATTGTGTGTCCAGTCACAACCTACTTCTATCTACGTTAATGTTTAACCAGGAATCTGGAGGATTTCATATAAAACATTCCTCAGGAAACTCGACACTTTTGCTGTCATAATGTAATGTGTTGCCAATATTAAGCACGCAATTCATGTCAGACACAAAACTTGTGGCAAGGAGTCTCATGTTTCCAGCGAAATAATCCTATATGAGCTACGGGCCTTGTGCTGAAACAGAAACAAAGACAATAATTGAAGTGGTGGTGCAGTTAAAGGGGTTAGGAATAAGGAAAGAGTCTGTTCTCCTGAGACTGTGAAGCTCCTGGGGGGGGGGGGGTCTGGAGCTGGATCACTAGGGTGTTATGCTATTATCAGTATACAGCCTTGTGTTG